TCTTGGTTTTTATTTGTAAGTGACGGTCTGCCAAAAAGGATGTTGTGTTTTAATATTGAAAATCAATATAAAGAATTTTCCCTCTTACAATCCAATTATAAAAACCTTTTATAATTTTACAAAAATAACCGTTTATTCTGAACAATATTTATTTACTATGTAATATATTTGTGTTTCTTTTAAATAGAGAGGGTGAAAATATCAAATCATATAGAATCCAAGTAGTATATTTTTTGTCTTTACTTCGAAATTGTTATTATACTTACCTTTATTTTGTTCTATTTAGTAGTGCGAAACTAAAATGCTTCAAATAAGATGAATTAGCTCCTGAGTAAATTTTGTTTAGAAAATTAAAATATAATAATTATTTGTAATAGTATGCAGATTATTAGTTTAATTTGATATTTCATGGATTTTGGTATAAAAATTCCAAACGATGGTGATTGGACCGTTAAAAAATTAAAACTATTTTTTTGTGGATTTATTTTATTCCTGGCTAAGGTATTACTTAAAAAAGCTAAGCCTAACCCCTTTGGGGGAATAGAGACCACGACTATCTTGAAGTAAAATGTCACACCACAACTCCCCCATACAGTTTATGGTCTGACCTTCTTCCAACGTCCCTCCACGAGCTAAGAAGAAAGGTCAATTAAACCATCAAGTCCTTTCTCCATTGTAAAATTACTAAAATTAAAGCCGTACTTTGTTTGTTTGCGTAACGTTGGAACATTTAATAATTATTTAGATGGACTTTTTTCAAATAAACTAAGTATAGTAACGTATGTTAAACCTAAGTAATACATTTTAATGTAACAAATTTTGTGTTTGAAGTTGGTATCTTTATTTCAATAGATTTTCACATTTAACCTTTGGATTCAAATTATTGTCTCGTACATCCCAGTTTTAAACCCAATAATATTAAATACATATTTCATCTTGAAACTTCTATCACTAATGTCACATTGAATTATATTATTATTTGGTTTAAAGTTTAGCCTATTCGTACTATTAAACCTCAACTCACTATGGCATTTCACTTATCACGTAAAAAAATTCTTCAAACAATCTTTTGTCTCTAGAACTATTGACTTTTCACCACACCTCGTTTAGTTCCAGTTGAAAAGGTATACTCTTCGACAAGTAATACTTATTGAAATATTCGATTTGTTTCCATCAACATTTAGTTTAAAATAATAACAAATACGAGTTTATTTTGCTTAGTTAATTTACGATCATGTGAACACATGCCTAAGCTTTGCCTGTTGTTCCAAAGTAATGTCAAACCAGAATACAAATGGAATCGGATAGTGAACATGTCCAGCCGTTCACTGTGGCAATAAACCTGTGTCCAACGTTTTATGTGTTTGCGGAACATGATTTGTTGAGAACCACATTATTTTAGTTTACGATCATGCAAAACCTTTCAATTAAATAAAGCTATTATTTAGTTTAAGATATTATTTATCATCATTATCTAGCTTAAAAACATTTATCCTTTTTATATTTTTCCAATATGAAACCATGCTAATTAGTTGAGGTCTTATTTATTCTATATACAGGGTTTTCATAAAATAATGGTGCGGTTTAGTTATGAAATTAAAAGAAAATGAGAAAAATACCAAAAACCTATTTATTTTATTGAATTCCTGACATCAAAAAGATTGTAAACATAGCTAATAGGCTTAAACATAACACCCATTTCTTGCTCTACCGACGTTTAGACGATGATCTATTTCAGCCCACACGTGCAAAATTTATCTTGTTACAATGGGGACTGCATCTCTGGTTCATTCTAGTAGATTAGCTAAATTTCGAGTTTATTTTTATAAACTATGTTTTTGACATCCTAAATGGCCGTTAAACTAGTGTCACCAACTTTAGTTTAGTTACACATTTAGCCTTTCCTTGATGGAAAACATGTTTATAAGAAAATACAACTTCAATTAATATAAACAAAACTGTTTGAGCTACCGGATGCGGGGGTATCAATATGAAATGTTATTTTTTTCTTATAATCGTTTTACAAACAGTTAAAACCCCACCATTATTTAATGAAGACCCTGTATTTATTTACAGGTTTATATTTATTTATCAAAATCTTTAATGCGTCTTCCAGAAGGAAAGAAAGAAATGTAATTATGTATTACATATTATTGTTAAGTAAGTTTCATAAAATGGGCCTATAATACTATTTCCACTGTATTCTTAACTAGTGTAAAAATTAATTAATATTTTATTTTGTAGTAGCTGACTCCAAATCTTTTTATTACCAAATACGCTTTAATTAAATTATTACAATTAACAATAAAATCAACGGCAAACAATGAAATCTATGAACAAAAGTTGGAATTTCGTATTTTTAACAATTTAAACTTTTTTAATGCTATTTCAGGAAAGTTTCCCATTAAATAATTCATGTAAAGGGCATTTTATGTATGGTACCCCTAGACCAATTTAAGCAGGTAGGCCGGTCCCCCTGAGAACACTAACATTCCGACTGCTTGTTATATAGGAAGGTTTCTACAGCCCTCATGAGAATACCCTCGTAATAATATAGATATTGGAATATCTCCCTCGGATATATAATGGGGTAATGAAGCAGCCACTTTCCATATCCGATATATATTTCTTGCTTAAATATGGGAAAATCACAAACAAGCATATTCATCTAGGTTTGAATATTTAAAGAACAAATTAATGTTGATTATTCCCAAAGAAGTAATTAAAGGTATACAAAATTAAAATAACCCCAAATCTGCTAATTATTTTACAATAAATTAGTAGTATCATAATAAATTTATTTAGTAAAAAAGTGACATAAAATTTTAAGTAATACACTGTGGAAAGAAATTCATTTCGTAGATTTCTTTGAAAGCAATTGAATTCTAATATATTAAGTATACTTGAGAATTTTTTAATAATATTGGAGTTTAAGTTCCCAATAGTAACGACTAATGATCTTATCAAGCAGATAAAAAACAAATTATCATTCTCTGTTTTTGACTGGTCTTCTTAAACTGCATTTAAGTATTGCAGCTATTCTAAATTTGACCCACCGTAGGCAGGAGTACACGTATTAGATATAATAGAAATGTGTCAGCAATGTTGGTTTTGTCGTCAAAACAAACTTGCAGAGAACCCCAATATTTACAAGACCATCCACTCAGAAATATCAAGACTTACACCGTAGGCTTGCGCACTATTTTTTTTTTATGTTGTACATTGGCTTATACAATAGCATAAGTTCATGAAAAAATGTTAATATAAATTATTATTTTACTATACCGGGTACGTAACATTTGAGAAGCATTTGTACGTAGCATTTTATTGAAGAAACCCCAGCTTTATCCTAATCATACTTTGCAGAGACTTAACTTTTATAAAATAATATTTTTACACCAAAAGTCTGAAAAATAAGTGTTCACCATACGAGTTGGTGAAAACATTTTGCAATAATACTACGTAGATCATACTACCATAACCTAGCTTTATACAAACTTTCGAAAGCTGCTATATTTTTCACCAACTTTAAGGGGTGCACAACACATGACACGTCCTACTAAATCAGTATCTAGTAGAAAGATCACTGGAATCATATGTACAAAACAAAATGAGCACATTTATAATATGTATGAGTCATAAGTATGAATATCACGTTAAATGTGCTAAGAATATAATATTTAAAGTAGATTAACATGAGTATTGGTGTAGATATTTTTTTTTATTTCACTCAATTTTACTAATTTCAGACTAAAGCGCAACCGACTTAAATATCAAACCTGAAAGCCAACTTTTATAGATGAATTTTTCTCTAAACGTTTGACCGTTTCTTGGGGTTTAAAGTGGTTTAAATCTGTAATCTCCTTTCAACCAAAGGAACATATTTATCTTGAAATATATATGGCAGGATACAATTAAATAGCCTTTAAAGATTACGCAGACAGTGTGGTTATTAAAGTTAGAAAATGACATAATAACTTTGGGTCCATATGGAAAATGTCCCAAGAAAAACAATAAATAAAAATCGAAATAAAAATGGAAAATGACATAATGACCATAGGGACATATGGGTTCGAATTTTTTTTGAAGGAAATCAAATTTAACTCAAATTCCACCACTTGTTAAATAACTAACATTTGTCAGTAAATATAGCTCAAACTGTTTAAATGTTTAATATTTGAAAGCACATCAACATGTAAAGAACTATAATATTGACTGAATTTTAAATTAAAGTATCAAGAAGTTCAGCATTTATTTTTTCCAAATCCAGATTTTGTTCGTGTAGGAAAATCATATAAGAAGATACTGAGGTTCACAAAAGATTTAGGCATTTAGTATGCAACACAAAATACCACATATAGCATTGTTAAATGTTTGTGAGTAATTTTTAGCAACCGAAGGACCATTTAAAAATACCTGTACAATTATATTGTGAGTAGAGAGTTCCATGCTGAGACGTTGCTGCGAAGTGAGGGCCCTCAATCAGTCTGGTAGTCTTCATGGTGTGGCGGACGAGGTGTTGAGATGATCACAATAATTACACTGAATTTAGAGGAATAAACTATAAAAGAGTAAAAGAGTTAAAAGGAGAATATTAGAGCGTTGAGAGAATGACGTGGTCACTACCATGTCCAAGGCACATCTACCCGACGCTGCTCACTATCTAGCCGGTCGGGGGAGGGGAACATCCCGATCAAAGTTCAATTCTACAGGTGAGCGTATTGAAAATGAAAACTCAAAGGATTGGATTGCTTACAATAAAATAAAATCTTTACCTTGATTCTAATAACTCTAGTAAAAACTAAAAAATCTATAATTTGTTTGGTTACAGAAATATAAAATAAAATACCCTGCAATGTGCAAATAAAAACCTTTTTAAACCTTACATATTGTAATTAAATATCCAACATACCCCCACCCGTGAACCACAATGGGGTTCACAAAAGAACAAAAAAAAACTTAACATTTTACAAGAGGTGGAGGATGATGAAGACTTGAAACTACTCTTCAATTGGGAGGGGAGACACCTTAGTGACAGCCCTTGTTAGAGGTCCTTTGTTGGTATGAAGATGTACAACCCGAACGAGTCCGTCAGGTCCAGGGGAAGTTGCGGTGACACGGCCTGTCCTCCATGAGAGGGGAGGAGAATTTTCTTCGTGGATTAATACAAGATCACCTTCCTTTATATTTACTTGGGGAAGTGTCCATTTTCCTCTTCTCTGCAGGGTATGGAGATAGTCTTTCTGCCACCTCTTCCAGAAATGTTGAGACATAGCTTGGACAAGCTGCCATCTTGAGAGTCTATTGCTTCGAACTTCTTCCCATGTGGGCTCAGGAAGTGCAAGTAGAGGGCTTCCAATGAGGAAGTGTCCTGGTGTGAGGTAATCAACTTCAGCAGGGTCTGAGGAGAGGGCAGTGATGGGCCTAGAGTTGAGTATTGCTTCTATCTTTGTAGATAAGGTGAGGAATTCTTCAAAGTTGAGGAGTTGTTCTCCAATAACACGTCGTAAGTGGTATTTGACGCTTCGTACGGTTCTCTCCCATATTCCTCCCTGGTGAGGTGCTGCTGGAGGTATAAAGTTAAACTTTATATGATTTTCATTTCCAAACTTATTTAATGCTTTCTTAGTCTCCTCCTGTTGTAGAAATGACTGAATGTGTTGTAGTTCTGCTGCTGCCCCGACATAATTCGTTCCACAGTCTGAAAAAATATTTGAGCAAAGACCTCTTCGTGATACAAAACGAGTCAAGGTTGCAATAAAGGCTTCTGAAGTCAAGCTGCTAACTACCTCAAGATGAACAGCTTTGACAGCTAGGCATATGAAGATACACAAGTACATCTTTACAGGGCTAGTTTTGCGCAAATTGTTTGGCTTAACCAAAAACGGCCCCATGAAGTCAGTTCCACAGTTAAAGAAAACTTTAGAAGGAGTAACTCTAACTGGAGGGAGATCGCCCATCTTCTGCGAAGTTAGAGTAGGCCGACAACGGAAGCAACGTACACATTTAAATATTCTACTCTTGATTACACTTCTTGCTGAAAGGATCCAAAACCTTTGAGAGATTATGCCCTGGAGAAATTGTGGTCCAGCATGTAAATATTTCAAGTGATAATAATCAATAATAATGTTAGTTATATGGTGTGACTTAGGCAAGATGATTGGGTACTTTGCTGCATATGATAATGTTGAGTGTTGAATGCGACCTCCAACCCTGAGGAGTCCAGAATCATCAATGAAGGGTGAGAGATGCTTTAGACGGGACGTTACTAGTTTTCCTGACTTGAGACGTGCAATGTCTTCTTGAAACACTGACAATTGAAGTATCTTGCATATTTGGACGGATGCATTATTCAGTTCTTCTAACTGTAGGGATCTTGATTCTTTCTTCTTCAGACGAGTATTTTTGATGAATCTAAAAACATAAGATAACACTCTCAACAATTTGCTCCATGAGGAGAACTTGGAGAAAATGTCCAATTCATTGACAGCTATCAAAACATTCAAAGGTTCAGACCTGAGTTCAGGTAACTCTTCATTCTTCATAATTTTAAATGAGGAGACCGGCCATTCAGTTGTAGGATTTGACAGCCATGGTGGTCCATACCACCACAATTTGTGGTTTACTAGACAGGACGGTAAGAGGCCTCGACTAGCGCAGTCTGCGGGATTGTAGTGTGTAGAAATGTGAGACCACATGTGTGGTGGAACTAAATCTTGAATTTGAGATATCCGGTTAGCTACATAGACCTTTAACCTAAAAGGGGGGGAGTGTATCCAAGATAATACAACCGTTGAGTCTGTCCAAGCGAAAATTGAGTTGATTTCACATTTTTGAGAGATTAGGTTGGACGAGTAGTTCAACAATTCCGCCAGCAGATGTGCTCCACAAAGCTCCAGGCGCGGAATGGATATCCTTTTGAGAGGAGCTACACGTGATTTGGCGATAAGCAAGGACACTCTGATATTATTATCTGCTGAGACAGTTCGGATGTAGACAACAGCACTATAACCTGCTTCGGAACCATCTGAGAAACCGTGTAACTGTACATCTACGGCATCATGCAGGTGTACATATCGAGGTATGAAAATATTTCTCAGTTGAGGGAGTTGGTCATAAAACTTGTTCCATTTTTCTGCAACATCAGTAGGAATGGGTTCATCCCATTTCAGTCCTAGAGTCCAAAGAAGTTGTAAGAGGGCTTTGGTCCAGAAGATGGTAGGAGCAAGATATCCACAAGGGTCAAAAATTTGAGCAACGGCTGAGAGGATGTTTCGCTTGGTAAGGGGCTTCTCCGGGATATCAAGCCTGTAAGAAAAGTGATCATTCTCTGACTCCCATTTTATGCCTAAGATACTGTAGAAAGGATTATCTGGACCTTGGAAATACATAGGCTTTTCCTTGTAAGATTCAGGTATGTCGCTTATTAGTTCGGGTCGGTTACAAACCCACTTTCTCAAATCAAAACCACCTTTTGACAGAAGATCAATAATTTCTTTCTGCGTAGTTCGAGCTTCATCTGGTGAGTTGGCTCCAAATATTAAATCATCAACGTAAACCTGTTTTTCCATCACTTTGGAAGCCAATGGATAGTTTTGACCTTCATCTAGGACAAGTTGTTTCAATGTTCGTATTGCCAAAAATGGGGAGCTCACAAAGCCGAAAACAACAGTTGTTAATCGATAGATACTCATGGGGAGCGATGAATCCTTCCTCCAGTAGAGAAGCTGAAAGTTTTGATCTTCAGGGTGCATTTTAATCTGTCTAAACATTTGCTTGATGTCACAGGACATTACAATAGGATGTAGTCTGAAATTAATAAGAATGTCACAAATTTTATTTTGCAGCTTTGGCCCAGATAATAACGTCTGGTTGAGAGAAATCCCTGTAGAGGAGGGGGCGCTAGCATCGAAGACAACTCTGAGCTTTGTAGACGACGATTCATTTTTAACTACAGCATGATGGGGCAAGAAAAAATGTTGAGATTCATCAAGTCTGTCCTGGGTCACTATCTCCATGTGACCAGATTCCATATAATCATTCATACATTTCACATAATCTGCTTTTAGTTCAGGATTTGCGTTTAAGCGTTTTTCCAGTGAAAGAAATCTACGTTTTGCATTTTCTGAGGAGTTGCCTAGGGGAGCGGGTGCCTCCTTGAAGGGTAGTCGGACCGTGTAGCGACCTTTAGAGTCTCTGGAATGGTGAGCTAAAAACAACTGTTCACATAGATCATCTTCAGGAGAGGGTTTTATTTTTAGCGGAGGTTCTTCTAACAGCCAAAATCGTTGTAGGGAACGATGCAGATCAACTTCATGAGTGGTGAGTAAAGATACAGTCCCCTCCTTACATGGGGTTCTTTCTAGGGGAGCGGGTCCTACAATTAGATAACCAAACACATAGTTCATTGCCATAGGCATGTTGTCTCCAAATGTCACGTGATCCTCCGTTACAATCCTACAAAACAAGTCAGCTCCTAACAACATATCCACAGAGCTTGGTAGGTCAAAAGTAGGGTCTGCTAGAACTAGGTGCTTCAACTTATTCTTGAACGCTGCTGATATTCGAGCTTGAGGAAGATCCGAAGTTATCCTATCCAATATAACCACAGGATGGTTCTTCACTATGTCTGTACCATTGAGAGAAGAGATATTTACCTTTGAAGCACCTTTGGTACTGATGTGAGAGGAAGAGAGGCCATCTACATCACTATGTCCATTATGCCATCTATTTAAGGACAAGAGATTAGCTGCATTTTCAGTCAAACATGAAATCATAGAGCCAGAGTCTAGTACAGCTCTTAAAACCAGAGAATGGCCATCTTTGTTAATAACATACACAAGGGTAGTGCCTAATAGTACTTTTGAAGACTTGACAACATTACTTTGAGAAAACACAACCACTGGATGTTTTTCCTTATCTGAGGCTGACACTGAGAGATTTGTGTCAACTACATTCCTTTTCACTTGCTGAGAGGGAATGGGGGATAGCGTACTGGTTGGTGTGGAGCGATTTGATAAATGCAGCCATGAGTGGTGTTTCTTACCGCAATGAAAGCATGAACGTTTTGATTTACAATCATTTGAGCTGTGAGCTGTGCCAAGACAATTGAAACAGAATTGTTTATTTTTTATGAACTCAAATTTAGAGGAGGGAGTCATAGCTTGAAAGTCAGTACACCTATAGATCACATGACCACTTTTGTTACAAAAAGCACACCTGGGATTCTGAGGTAACCCGGGGGCAGATAGCAGAACTGTACGAGGCTTATTAGTTACCTTAGAATAATCAGAGTTTGATTTGACATTAGAGTGGGAGGCAGAGGATATCCTTAGACTAGAAAGATTAGCAGCTTCCATATGAGTACATTCATCTTCTAAAAATGACATGATTTCTTCTACTGAGGGGATTTTCTGACTGTCTTCTCTACCATCCTCAAATTTTTTGCGTAGCTCTCCATCTAGCTTGCGCAACAACATAGTAGACAAGATTATATTGTTTTTTCTTACCTCATGTTTAAGAGCTTCCAAAGCCTGAGTGTTTTCCTGAAACTTAGATAAAAAGGTTCTGATGGCTTTACTATTACCACTAGTTATGTTAGAGAGGTCAATTAGGTTATTAACATAATGAATGATCATTCTCCTGTTATTTTGATACCTATTTTTTAGCAACTCCCAGGTGACCATGTAATTCTCTGCTGTAATTGGCAGATTTTTAATCAAATTCAATGGTTCCCCTTCAAGAGAGGTAATCAAATACTGGAACTTTTCAGTATCATTTAATTTATCATTTTTGTGAATAGAAGCTTCAAACAAACCTTGAAATGACAACCATTGGTCGGGTAACCCACTAAACGCTTTTAAAGTGAGCGGAGGTAACTTTAGAGTCTTAGAAGGCGAAGTATTTGCATGAGCAGGAGTAGAAGTGGACTCCTTCTGATATGGTTTCACAATCACTTTAATCTGAATAAATAAGTCACTGATATCATCCTGAACTTTCTCAACTGCCTCAGCATCAAAGTCAGGTATAGAATCAGTAGAAGTCAAGCGAGTAATATATTTATCAAACTCTGAGTACCTGATGCTTGCTTCTTCAGCATATTGCTCCAATTCCTCAAGAGCATCACTCCCTATATCTTCAGATACCAAAGTGGAGACACGATCCTTAATTTTCTTAAGGCGATTCAGAATTAATTTGCTCTGTCGTTCAAAGGTAGTGAACTTCATCTTGCAGGTTACCCTGAATCTTAATTAAGAGATAAAATCCAATTACAAACCAGTAAATAATTCAAATATTTCTTAATAAGGAGATTAATATCAAAACAAATTCTTTGTAAGCAGAAGAGGAAAAAAGTACAATATAAATAACCCTTTTTTTAAAAAACAAACCTATAAATCAAAAAATGCTCTGACCTATTCAATATCCAGAAGGCCTAGGCTCCTATTTCAGTTTCCATCAAAGTGTAGGCTACCCACTACAATACCTATATACACTTGGATATATTACAATCTTATACTCTCAATAATTAGCGCCAAAAAATCTTTAAACTAAATTAATATTTCAATTTTTAGCAAAAATGGGTGAATTAATCAAATATTGTAGGCTATATGAGTCAAAATATCAAATACAGTAAGTTACTGCACAATATTAATATATAGATATTAAAATCAATAAAATTTCAAAATTGTACCCTAGACTACAGAGCTTAAACAATTAATTAGCTTAGCTTCTCCAATAGATCTCCAATAGGACTATCTCAATAACACTCTCAAACCTAAAGAAAATTCTATTTAAAATGAATGAAGTCTCAAAATATCCTTATAGTGCAGAAAATTGATAGTTAAATACCACTTGGGATACGTTGAGTTAGGCCTATGCCTGCTTAAAACATCAACAACAATAATTACAAGTTTCTTATGTTAAAAAAGGAATTAAAATAATATAAAATATCAAAGAATCTCAGAGTTCCTTTTTAAACAATAAATTGAGAAAATAATCAATATTTTTCCAGCTCTAGGTTTTGTTGGTAAAACACTATTTACTTACCAAATTTATTCAAAGGAGCCAAACAAATTATTTCAAAGACAAGTTGAAGACGATTTTCAATAACAAAATTATTTTACAAATTAATTGAGGAATATCAAATTAAGGATATTATTTTCAGTGTATGATTCAACTAGAAAAAATATAAATATATAAATATAAAAAATTTAAATCCTAGAATAAAAACTACAATCCAATCCTTTACACCAACATTCACGAGTGAGGTTATGTTATTGTTTATAACTCATTGACATTGACAAACTGACAGAGTGACAGAGTCAAAATTGCACAGTTGCAGCCATCTTAGATTGCAGACTACACCAGCGCTCCCAACGGCGAAAAATGTTTGTACTTGAGTGAGTGAGAGGGAAGACAGCTGGTTTCCGCTCCAACATGAACAAGAACAATACAGTCTGGGAATTTCCCCGCTTATCAGCAACTTGTACAGTCCTGAATGATTCGTGAATATTCTAGAGTAGTAATTTTCACTTCTAACGATTGAAATAAAAATGATCTTTTTTAACGATCACACTAAAATGGCTGACAAACAACTTTCTCGGCAAAGTTTGAGAAGTAAAATAATTACTGTTCACTGTAATAAAAACTTATTGAACGTATTTTACACACGATAGCAAAATAAAAATGTCTATTTTTCCAAGCGTTGGTTCAAAATAAAATATCATCCGGCTCGAAGGACCAAATGTTAAATGTTTGTGAGTAATTTTTAGCAACCGAAGGACCATTTAAAAATACCTGTACAATTATATTGTGAGTAGAGAGTTCCATGCTGAGACGTTGCTGCGAAGTGAGGGCCCTCAATCAGTCTGGTAGTCTTCATGGTGTGGCGGACGAGGTGTTGAGATGATCACAATAATTACACTGAATTTAGAGGAATAAACTATAAAAGAGTAAAAGAGTTAAAAGGAGAATATTAGAGCGTTGAGAGAATGACGTGGTCACTACCATGTCCAAGGCACATCTACCCGACGCTGCTCACTATCTAGCCGGTCGGAGGAGGGGAACATCCCGATCAAAGTTCAATTCTACAGGTGAGCGTATTGAAAATGAAAACTCAAAGGATTGGATTGCTTACAATAAAATAAAATCTTTACCTTGATTCTAATAACTCTAGTAAAAACTAAAAAATCTATAATTTGTTTGGTTACAGAAATATAAAATAAAATACCCTGCAATGTGCAAATAAAAACCTTTTTAAACCTTACATATTGTAATTAAATATCCAACAAGCATCGATGGTCATGGGAATAAGTAAGGAAAATCCAGATGTAATGCACAACTTAAATATTGTATCAAATATACAAGATCGTATTGTAAATTATACAATTCTCTCAATTTGTAAACGTGTAAAGCAGAGTGTAGTTTTGGCGTTTAGTAGGAGTTGTCAATTTTAAGGGTGAATTTACATGTAAATAGATTAAGAGTGGCTTGTCCATGTAACTAAACAGTGTTAGTCAAGGAAGGCCAGTTGAGAGTTCAGTGGACTCAGCGTATCGCTAAATTGAATCCCGCGTCCCTAATCTAATCAGTTCAACACTCAGTTAGTTGGCCTTGAAATTGCCTGTTGATACCTAAATTTTACACAACTAAAACCTCCAATATTTAAATCATAATGAAAATTTCAAAACTATATGAGCTGAATTCAGCTTTGTAACGTGCTCAGATTTTAGAGTTAGATTGCTCTTTGGATAGTATGACAATAATAATTCTTGGCTATCGTGTTCTATAGTAAACATAGAATATCTTAATAGGGCTATATTATACGGAACAGTTACTTTGCTAGGTTACTAGTCCCTACTACGACTGAGACTCTCAACTGCTCACTACAGCTGATAATGGGCTGTATGGACGGTGTAGTTTACATTTCTAGTCTTACCTTTGCTGTTGATGTTGCCACTTAATTGTACAGTATTTAATTACTTGTATTGATAATTCATGACGAAATATTTTTATTTACAAACTATTTTATTTTACAACACCTACTTTAAAGTAATTTTTAAATAGTAGGTAAAATATATTGTAAGGGTGTATGGTGTATTTAAGTATTTCATATAGAATCAATTGAATAATAGGTAAAATAATAACTAACGGATGTTTATTATAAAACTACAGTTGCAATGCGAAACTTTACAAAACTAATTGCAATGTTGCTGGGAGTAACTGAAATGCATTGTTGACACACGGGACATAACCTAATGACTGTTCATGTACCTCCTGGATTGTTCATGTATTGTTTACTAACAATAGGATAGAGACACCTCATTGTTCTGTTTATGAACTTTATTCTGCATATTGTGAACAATCTTTTACCACCAGATTCCAATTATTTAGTTCTTTAAAAACTATTTCTCATATGGTTATTACAATTACATCGAATACATACTCTTAGAGACTTTAATGATTTGTAATATTAAAATCAATAGTAACGCTGACAAAAGCGCTATCAAGCAGTTGGTCAATTTGGTTTTCGTTTTCAAATCCGTACAAAATCTATAAAGATTGGTATATGATTAACAAAACTCATTTTAATATTTATTTAAATTTATTATGTTGGTATTTTGTTTGAGAAATATACAGGGTGAATAAAAAGTCAAGACCCCCCCCCCTCTAATATTTTTCCAAGTAAATATACAGATTTATCCTTTAGGTGGTCGAGCAATCTTAGCAGGAAGTTTCATTTGATCATTTTGAAATTTTTGAGTGTCCCCCCAAAAGGGGGGATTTGGGGGGCAACTCAAATATTTTAAATGTAAACCCCCTTCAAGTGACACCTCATTTTGAAGAGTTTACAAAAACTTAAAGAATGGTGAAAACTAGAGGTTTCTATCTCTTCTCTATCCAAAATGGTCGCCCGTCAAATGTTGTGGAAAATCAACGGTAAAATTGTTAATATTGGCTGCCATTTTGGATAGAGAAGAGATAGCGAGCTCTGGTTTTCACCATTCTTGAAGTTTTTGTAAACACTTCAAAATGAGGTGTCACTTGAAGGGGGTTTACATTTAAATTTTTGAGTGTCCCCCAAAAGGGGGGATTCGGGGGACAACTAAAAATGTTTCAATAGAAACCCCCTTCAAGGGACACCTCATTTTGAAGTGTTTATAAAAACTTAAAGAATGGTGAAAACCAGAGCTCGCTATCTCTTCTCTATCCAAAATGGCAGCCAATATTAACAATTTTACCGTTGATTTTCCACAACATTTGACGGGCTACCATTTTGGATAGAGAAGAGATAGCGACCTCTAGTTTTCACCATTCTTTAAGTTTTTGTAAACTCTTCAAAATGAGGTGTCACTTGAAGGGGGTTTACATTTAAAATATTTGAGTTGCCCCCCAAATCCCCCTTTTGGGGGGGCACTCAAAAATTTCAAAATGATAAAATGAAATTTCCTGCTAAGATTGCTTGACCGCCAAAAGGATA